GTTATTTGTGTACCAAGGCCGCCAAGTTGATCTTTTTTGCCGAATCAGAAATTTAGCAAGCAATTTCTGGTGAGGCCCAAAAAGATCATACGACCGAGGTGCACACAACATTTTTTAGGCAACGTTCTCATCAAGTAGAGCCAATATTTTTTTACATTCTTGCTTTTGAAAAGAGATTTAAATTTTTATTGATCGAATAAAAATCCATTGTTAACTAATAAAATTTGTACGGAATTACTAACGATAAATAATATGATAAACCTGTGTTTATAAAAAGCGGCCGTAAAGTAAAGGCGACCAAAAAAGTGACACAGGGATGTTAATAAAAAATGTTTAGAGTAAGATGTGTGCGGAAAATGTATGTTTTTATTTTATCCTTTAAACATTTACAAGGGTCATACAATAATAGGTTGTACAAAATAACTGGAAAAAGCCTGTAATAACTAGATAGGAAAGTCATGTGTTGACACATCAGATATTTATTCTTATTGTTTTTAAGTTCGCAGGTCAAACAAAATTAACTAAAGTAATATAATGTCAGGCAAACTCTAATTGTTAAAGTGTTTTGTTTTCAAAGCCAACTTATCGACGGTTTCCGGTTAAAAGAATGACTATCGATTTTTTCTTTTCTGGGATTATTAATTACTCAAAGTTATACAAGTGTTCAGCTCAAAAAAGAAAATTTTGCGACCGGACGTGTGCTAGGCATATGGAAAGTTCATTTTTCTACAATCCCTATATTCAAAGTGGCTTTTGTGCTTCGAAATACAATCGCAAAGTTGACGTTTTTCGCCAACTAACATTAAGTGACAGCTTTGTCGCTCGCCGGGCGGAAAACTTGACAGCTTTGTTGCTCTCCCAATAATTAGATATAATATTATTTCTTTTTAATAAATGATTTTGAAGTTATTTGTACGTAGTTTGATGTTTTTTTGTTTTTTGGTTTATTATCCAAGTAAACATTGACTGAATATAAACTCCTTTCATGAATAACGTAGATATAGGCAACACATTACGTCAAATTTTCAGTTTATACATCTATTTCTTAAAATAATGTTATCGTAGAAAATATCTTGTGTGCGTTTTGAGCGAAAAGTTAGTTGCCGCTTTCGACAGATTGCAACGTTCTTCTACGCGTCGCGCAGCAACTTTCTGTCTCAAGTAGCAAAGTATCACTTTTCGCTCTTAATACACAAATAGCAGGCATGGGCGTCGTTTGGGGGGGGGGGGGGTAGTTATCACCCTCTGGCTTTTACGACTTAATCAACAACGCGTAAGATATGCATTACGAACAAAAATCTCATAGAAATGATATTCAGGCTAATATAGTTGAAGAATATTATAGGTTGAATATATTTATTGCATATCTGGATTCACTTATTACGTCGCTTAAATCATTCTTTTCAGAAGACTGTAGTGTTAGTTTTTCCTTAAGCCTGTTACATCCCAAAAATAATACTTTATTCACTACCGATCAGAAAATGAAAATAGTGAAAAAATTTGGAATCGACAATTTTACAGCTGAATACCTAACTGGATAGCTAACTAGAGTACAAAAGAGCTTTCTGCATACAATGAGCTCTCCATTAATGATATAGCGTCCAAACATTGTAAATTTTATCCAGACATATAAAGAGCTTTAAAAATATTTATGGCTCTTCCACCAACGTCAGCGTCAATCGAAAGGTATAGATTTTACTTAAAAAAAAAAAAAAAAATAGGTAAAAACAATAAAATAAGCAACCGGAGTTGCTATGTTGTAAATTGTAAAAATACTAGCCAAATAGGTATTGTTAAACTCATAATTAATATATTTATATAAATACCAAGCGACAATATTAAGTACTTTTTAACATTTCTTATTGACTAAACTATCTGGGAAATTTCAGATACAGGGTCATTATTGCTGTGATGTACTAGACTTCAAAAGAAGAAATGAGCAATTTTTTTCAATTTTCTCTCAGCAGCATTTTCAAATAATTGTATGTATTTATTTATATAAAACGTCGATATCATGTTTCCGCCTTTTTTTTCTGGTCTTGAAATCAATTTTTCTTCCTGCATGTCAATTCCCATCAATGAAAAAATGAAAAAAATTCCTCTGATTTTTCTGCAAGTTTTCTAGTTTCATAAACTATGATAAGAATGAACTAGACTTATGGCTTTTTTATATCAGACATATACATTAACAAATTTTTATTTCACTTTATTTCGTTCACTAGAAAGTCTGCCGGAAAACAAAAACAATTTTCACAAAATTTTCCGGCCGGAAAATTTACCTGAATAGCTGACCGGATTTTGGGAATTTTTTTTCGGGTTCCTAACGATACCAAATTTCATTCTGTCGATTGCCATAAGTGAAAAAATGCATTAGCAACCCAGTATTTATTTAACCCTCAGACGGGCGCGCTTTGCAAAATAACATAAGCGAGCGCGTGCGGCACTGCATGCCGCAAGAAGAAAAACGTACATATTAATTCAGAACAGCAAAATTTATAAAAATGTTCGGCTGTCAAATGTTTTTTAATGTCTATTATTATACCCAAAGCGAAAGAAATAAATTTTAATTTGTATTGCTGCAAAAAAATACACTACTAAAAACAATTGTACCATATTTTGAAAAGTCTATCGGGCACATATCTGCTGTTCCAGCAACTGGCCTTTTTGTGAGAATATTTTAATATCTATACATAGCAGCACTTTTATTGCGATCCATATAGTCGCTGATGTATTTATTCTATTTCTGTCTACTGATAGCATTGTTTTCGTATACTGTTTTACTGGAGTCAGCATTGAAAAGTAAACGTACTGGATTGAATGTACTGTAATTTAATGGGCATAGCTTAAGAATATAATATTTCTTGAGCAATTTTAAATCGAAAATGCCTTATACAATGTTGTCCAAAACTTAATAGTTAAGAAGTTATGGGTAATATTAAATTTAAAAGAGCGTGTAGAAATAAAGTAATACAATATTTTATTAATTAATACTTTTTTATTATTACCATAATTTTAGTTAAATTAATTGTTCAAAATATCCTCCCGCTATTGCTCTTTTAATAGTATCCATAAACAAAATATCCATACCAAATTAATCTTAAACTAACAACATCTAAGATTAAACAATGGCATCATAACTCCCTTATAACATAATTGTAGTAATACTGAAAAAATACCACTAATTACCGATTTAAGAGTGTATTCTTCAAAATTTCAAGTTTTCACGTTAATGCGGATTTGAGAAAATTAAACACATGGCCTTCCAGGTTTATTTACTGTTAAAACATTGCACGTGTACTCCTTAACTATTGAGTTTTGGACAAAAAACAAAAGTGTATGAGGCATAAGGTATTTTCTACTAGAAAATTGTCCAATGAATACGCTTTTAAGCTACGCGCATCGAGTCTCGGGACACCTTGTTTTTTTTAAATAATGATTTAGAATTAAATGATTGTGAATAATTGTTACATAACAAGTGTGAAAAGTGTGACATTTCGCACGAGTTGAAATTTAGAACGAGCCGCGTAGCGGCGAGTGTGGAAACTAAACGAGTTCGTTCGAGAAATACACTTTCCAACGAGTTGGGTACACTATTTTCCTACGCCCACGTAAAAAATCCGTCAAAAAAACATGTTTTTCAAATTATAAAGTCAACTAAACAATATCACACATGTACTGAAAAGTATATCACACATGTGTTGAAAAATAAAAAAAATTCTTCAAAATATTTTTTATTTTGTAACAGTAGAGATGACAAGAACTAATAAAATGATTATAAAATATTTATAACTAAAGAATAAGAAATATTTATAACTAAAGCAGAGATACTAATAGAAAAATTTATAAAAATTTACATCTAAAGTAGTGATAATAACTAATAGAATAATTAAAAAATATTTGTAACTCAAGTAGAGATAAGAACTAATGTAATAATTAAGAAATTATTTTCCAGTTTTAAAAACATGTAAAAATGTATTTTCCTACGACCACTTACGAAAGTGACACATATATCACACTATATAGTCCTATGGAAAGTGCCCTATATCACACGCGTATGAATAAGAATTTACTTTCCACCCGTGTACGAATATGTTACTTTCCGCAGTAGCTATCACAAAATGTCAAACACCTAATTTCTATTTTGATCTATGTAATGTCCATATTAATATTAAAATCGATATGATTGTTAAATTATTGAAATTGTTGTAAATTAGATCCTAGATATTTATCTTCAACAATTATTATTAAAATAATTTTAAAATAATGTTTGCTCTTTATTCTGGTTAATTACATAACCGATTAGATCATTCAATTGACACAAGGGCTATTAGCTCAGTTGGTTAGAACGTCGAACTTATCAACTTTGCCACTTGAGACCCGGCGAGCGACCGCGTTCAAATCCTGGTGGGGTCAGAATTTTTTTTTGTTTTTATTTCTTATTTTTTGTTTAGAAAATATGAAAATTGAATAAATACGATTATTGTTGATTATTTTTTTAAATACATTTTAATTATTATAGTAATAATAATCTTGGTTTTACATTTTTTGATGAAATTATTTTGTGGTCGTAGGAAAAATATTGTACATCACTTGTGTGAAAAGTGATTTTCCACACTCGTGTGATAGTCGCACTCGGCTTGTGCCTCGTGCGACAATATTTCCTACTCGTGTGAAAAATGTCACTTTCCACACTCGTAATGTAATATACTATTTCAATTCAAGTGTGATATATATTTAAGTTCACGTGTGATATAAGCTACTTTTTTGAGTACAAATGAGTGTGCAAACTATTATTTTCATATGTTGTCCTAGGAAAAATAGTATATAAACCTTGGCGTTCGATAACGAATCATTTTGCTGATTTGGTACATAAATAACTATTAACGGATTCTCTCGTTTTGGTAAAAGATAAGATAAAATAAATATATATTTTCGACTTTTACCAGTAGTTGATACATTTACCGACATAGTTTAGTAGTTAAAAACAAATATTCACTTACCGTTTTTTGTCGAATAAGGAGTGGTCGTTGCTATTTTATTAAATTTAATTTTTGGTGTAGATTCTGCGAATCTGAACCTATTCCTTGGTTTTGAGGTCGTGAAAATTGTATCAGTAATATTAAAATTAAGCAAATTGTTAAAAAGTGGCTCTTTTTCAGTTACATTCCTTGGTTCTGAGGTCGTGAAAGTTATGTCAGTAACATTGAAATTAACCAAATTGTCAAACAGTGGCTCTTTTTCAGTTACAGCTATTCTCGTTGGCCTCCTTTCTGTCAGTTTAATTTCGGGCACTCTCTTTTCCATTGTTGTTTGTTCCGAAACTGTTTTTTCTGTTGTTAATCGCATTTTTACAGGAACCCTTCTCTCTGTTATTTTTTCTTGAATTAGTGAAATTTTTGTTGGCAGTGGCGCGTTTTGAATATCTTTGAGAGCGACGACAACGTCTCTGATTTCCAGTGGTTTTCCAATTGAATCGTTTTCTGCATTATCTATTGAATTTTCATTTTTTTCGGCTAAATCGTTTGTGACAGGAACATTAACTTTTGGTCTGAAAGTTCTTCGTAAAAATGGTGGTCGTCGAGATATGAAGTCGAAACGGTTGTGTTTTGGTTTTGGTGTCGTCGTGGTTTCTAAAAAAGAAAACAATAATGATTGGAAATCTCTATTACTGATTACTACATCCTACTGGGAGGACAGACGGCATAGTCAATTTAAATGTTTCATTATTGTTGTACCCACCCGTTACCTACACATTTATTCGACCCCTTACCAATGCAATCGAAATGGGCGAAGTCCGAGCATTTGTTTTCTAGAGGTCACAATAATGCATATATCTTATTATTTCTTTTTACAAAAAGATGAAGGATTTAACTATGATCCTGCAGAGGTTTTTGATAAAAATAGAGGGCGTTTCTAATTTCATGCGAAAAAATGCAATAGGAGATTTTTCGTTGAAAATTGAGGAGCTTTGGAGCAAAACTGAATAAATCCACTATAAACGATTTTTTTGTGAAAACATGATTTTCCAATTGCACAAAAAGTACTGTTTTTTCGTTTGTTTTGTTAAAACAATACAACTGGAGATGTCATTAATAATACATACTTTGCAATTATAATTTTAAAAAATTATTTCTGTTAAAACTATGACAAAAAAATGATTTATTCAGTTTTACTCAAATCAAAATTCAAAACTACGCGAACTAATATAAGAGGATAACAAATCAAAATAAAGAATATCTATAACAATCTGCTTTTAAACTACAGCGAATCCCGATGTGTTGTTTACACCACTTTACTAGTGGATTTATTCGGTTTTGCGCAAAGACATCAATTTCGACCCTGAATTTTACAAAGATTTATTTAGTTTTGCTCGACCAGGTAGTCTATAAAGATGTAATTTTACAAAGTAAATTGAAATCTGCTGCTAGTTTATTTTCATAAAAAGTGGATTTATTAGGTTTTGCTCCAAAGCTCCTCAATTATAAGTTGCCGGATCTATAACATTTTCTCAGCCCAACCCCTTAAGAGATATCACCCCCGATTCCCCTGAAAAGATTTAAGCAAAATTGAATTTACAATTTTTTAGCAAATTCGACTTAACAGCTTACTAAAATTCGATTAAAAATAAATATATAGTGAACTTATTGGTTATAGATCTGAAAACTATAAGCTATTAAATTATTTGGAAGGCCTCCACCTATTCGTGTTCTACGCACACTGCTTTAATCAACTGAGCTATCGGGACATAAGTCTCCGACATCCAAATTATTCATTTGAATCTAAGATTTCGAATCCAATCTCAGATAACAGAAAATATCGGATTTGTAGTTATTGATTCGAAAGCTTGCGTATTCTCAAAAACTCTCGCGTCTGTTTATTCGAAATTCGATTTCATGTTTGTTGCTTTTTGTGTAGGTATTCTGTTCCAAACTTTGCAGTGTTTTAGTGTTTTTTATTGTTTAATAGCAGATCGGACTCAGCATTTTGATTCGAACGCAGTTACATTTTTATTAAATGAAATCGCATATGTACAGGGCAGGTTATTATTTTTGTAATTATAGAGTTTAGAAGTAAATGTTAAAACGGTGTATAACATTTTTTACACATATATTAAGTATGTGGTCAACGTTTGAGGTGTTACTCAAGTCTAAGACAAAAAAATTCATATAAACGTAGGTCCTAAATGGCTCAATTTTGAAAATACAGGTTGTACATAAAGAGGAATCCTTTGAACAAAACCGTTTTCTGTATTTACTAATGAGTTGCGCAGGGGTAACTATAGACTTGATAAAAAAATACAGAGCCGTTTATACGAACCTCTTGTTTTAAAATTGCGGAATAATAGAATAATAAGTTTAGCCACATACTTAATGATTACTATGTATAGGCAATATTTTTATTAATGAAGTTTCTTGTTACAATTGGGTTTAGTTATTATTGGCGAATAAAAAAAAACAAACATTTAGTATAAATTTTGACTGTTTAATAACATTAATTTAAAATTGTACTTTAATAAAAATAATAAGTAAAAGCTTCATGACTTTATCAGAGATTTATTAAGTCACCAGTGAAATTAAACAATATTCTATCAATGTTTTACTTATTATTAATAACAATTCAGTGTAATTTAGTGGTGGCTTGTTATAATTCAAAATGGGGGTTCAATTTTTTCCAATAATTTTAGCATTTGTAAAACTTTGTGCAAGAGCCAATATCCCTCAAAATATCTTTGGCATCATCCGTTTTAATACAATTAAATTCCCAATTTTTATAAGATTTCTGAGTCATGAAAAGGTTGCTTGATACCATCACTTAGATGATCTATTACTATAAATGGTACAAGCGCAGAAACTACCGTTTTTATTTCATCTGAAACTCGTAACATTTTCGAAGAATTTGTCAATCTAAAAAAGCAACAATTTTTCCTGTTGTTTTGGTTAGTTTTTAGAGAGGACAAACCTAAGAGCTTCCAGTGAATCCTGAAATATGCTTTTTATACTTCGCACAAACATTTGCTCTTTTAGTGAAGCAATTGTTGATATACAAAAGCCACTATACCCACCCTGGGCATTGCAAGCCAATAATGGGCTTTGTTCAAATTTCGCCCGGTAGAACTGTTTAAAACTTTATTTACACTACACCACACTATAAGTAAAAGCAATCGTATTAAGTAAATTCAAATACGCACTGCAAACCCCGAACAAAATACAAAAACCCTGTACAAAATACAAAAATCGATTATTTTAGATTAATCGGATATTTTCGATATTTTAGAGATATTATATTCGTAAATTCCAAATATTATCCATATCTCAAAGTGGTCCGAAGTAGATTAAAGGGAAGTAAAAGGCTCAAAGTCTGTCGACCACATACATTTATTAGGTTGAGTTGCAAGCGCTTTCGACCTAAATTTAGGATAAATTATTTTGTAGATTGTACCTACCTACCTACTCACTTACAAAAAAATTTTTGCCTGATGATGACCTTTTAGGTCGAAAGCGCTTGCAACCCAACCTAATAAATTTATGTGGTCGACAGACTTGGAGCCTTTTACTTCCCTTTAATATTATATTCGATTTTGATTAATCGATTACAATATTATATTATTTTCAAATACTACAACTATTAACTAACTTGCTGTACTCTAGTGATAAATAAATAATCGATCCATAAAAGTAATTGATTATTGGAAAAAATTATTAATCGAAAATAATCGATTATTCGAAAAGAATAGAAAAAATCGAAAAGAATCGAAAAGAATCGAAAAGAATCGAAAAGAATCGAAAAGAATCGAAAAGAATCGAAAAGAATCGAAAAGAATCGAAAAGAATCGAAAAGAATCGAAAAGAATCGAAAAGAATCGAAAAGAATCGAAAAGAATCGAAAAGAATCGAAAAGAATCGAAAAGAATCGAAAAGAATCGAAAAGAATCGAAAAGAATCGAAAAGAATCGAAAAGAATCGAAAAGAATCGAAAAGAATCGAAAAGAATCGAAAAGAATCGAAAAGAATCGAAAAGAATCGAAAAGAATCGAAAAGAATCGAAAAGAATCGAAAAGAATCGAAAAGAATCGAAAAGAATCGAAAAGAATCGAAAAGAATCGAAAAGAATCGAAAAGAATCGAAAAGAATCGAAAAGAATCGAAAAGAATCGAAAAGAATCGAAAAGAATCGAAAAGAATCGAAAAGAATCGAAAAGAATCGAAAAGAATCGAAAAGAATCGAAAAGAATCGAAAAGAATCGAAAAGAATCGAAAAGAATCGAAAATAATCGAAAAGAATCGAAAAGAATCGAAAAGAATCGAAAAGAATCGAAAAGAATCGAAAAGAATCGAAAAGAATCGAAAAGAATCGAAAAGAATCGAAAAGAATCGAAAAGAATCGAAAAGAATCGAAAAGAATCGAAAAGAATCGAAAAGAATCGAAAAGAATCGAAAAGATTTGAAAAGAATCGAAAAGAATCGAAAAGAATCGAAAAGAATCGAAAAGAATCGAAAAGAATCGAAAAGAATCGAAAAGAATCGAAAAGAATCGAAAAGAATCGAAAAGAATCGAAAAGAATCGAAAAGAATCGAAAAGAATCGAAAAGAATCGAAAAGAATCGAAAAGAATCGAAAAGAATCGAAAAGAATCGAAAAGAATCGAAAAGAATCGAAAAGAATCAATTAATCGAAAATAATGGAATAAACGATAAATCATAAAGAATCGATTATTTTTAAGTAATGCTAGTGGACCCCCTATTTTCCACTTGATCATAAAAATTAAGTTCATTTATTGTTTTTATAAGTAGTTGCCATGAAAAATTAATCACCCAAATAATTTTTCAAAATTTTGATTTTAACAGTAATTTTTTTAACAATGAAAATTTTGAGTACTTTTAATTAAAAAATGGATTTTAAATCAACCGGTAAAGATAAATTAATGAAATTTTCAGGATTTATTGTTAAATATCTATATTTTGATAATACATTAATTACTTAAAATTATTTGTTTATTATCATATTGTTAATTAACTTTTAAGTAAACAAATTAAATTTTCATTGATATCTCGGTAAAAAAATGAAGTTTTTTTTTTATCGGTTACATGCATTATTTATTTAAGTTTAATATTCCGAAAGAAAATCTCACTGCTCGCTATTAGTTTAAACAATGTGAATTTATTTATCATAGCGCGCCGGGCGTCGGGCGCTGGCTGTCAGAACACCGCGCGGCCGAGCGTTTCAGGCTACACTGCATCTTTGGTCATTTATAATTAAAAATAACAATTCAAAATATTAATATTAATAATAAATTTTATTCTTTCAATGTTATGAACAATGCAATAAAATAATTTTTTATTATTAAAGTAAACAGAGAAAATTAAGAAATACTTAATTATAAATTTTACAAAACCATGTTATTATATATTTATTTTTACTTGGTAAATCAGTAAGCTATGGTTTTTAAATTTACTAGTAAGTACTCCATTTTGACTTTAAAAAAAACTGCTTGGTTACGATTTTCATTTGTTACTGACGTATCCACGTAAATAACAAAATAATTTTAGTATGCATTCCAGTTTATTCTTTATAAGTTCATACGCATATGAGTTAAATAATTATTAAAAACAAGAGCTGAGGTTTTGTGAATTT